GATAAGCCTGATTTCAGTATAAAGAATTAGACGTATAGTTGATGAGAGGAACTGTGGTCAGAGGACTGAGTCTAAGTGTCACCCCCACAGCATCTCTGAAGTCCTGTTTCAGGCGGTTTGACCTGATGCTGCTTCGGGCACAGACTGTGGATGAGGCTGTGTCGGTGAGAGCTGGGTTCAGTTCGGAGTGGCTGACGCCCACGTGACAGTGGTTTAAGATGTGGACGTCCAGTCTGAGAGAGGCAGCCCAGGCGTCTTAGGCAGCTCCACCAAGTCGTTAAAGAAGCGGGCTTCTTCCAGCTCTTCACAGGGCGCGTCCTTTCTCCTAATTGTTAGAAACAGGAACTCCAGCCCTCTGGGTAGCGGGGTGGGTGCATGTGGTGTCTGGAGGGAGGGTCAGGGAGGGACAAAAGGCAGGCAGACACCAGCGGTTTGAAGGCAGTCTCCAGCAGTCGCACCGAGCACTTCGCTTCTGCCTGGCTGGCAGAGGTTTGCCGCGTGCACGTCTGCCTGCGGGGGAGGCCGGAGACGGAGCATCCTATTCTAGACAGACGTGGCCCCGGCTACAGCTCGGGGGCTGTTGCTGAGGAAGGAAAGGAAGATCAGGCAGCCAGCTCTTCTGGCCTCAGGCGAACGAGCAGAGACCCAGCCGCGTGGCCCTCGGCCTGGATCTTCGTGCTGTTGGGCTCTTGCTCGCCGCCCTCCTGTCTGACTACTCGGGTCGCCCATGTTTCTGTCCTCAGATTCCAGGTGGACCTCCAGAATGGCAGCAGTGTGAAGCCTCGGGCTGACGTGGTCTTTCATTTCAACCCACGTTTCAAAAGGTCCAACTGCATTGTTTGCAATACTCTGAAAAATGAGAGATGGGGACGGGAAGAGATCACCTACGACATGCCTTTCAAGAAAGAAAAGTCTTTTGAAATTGTGATTCTGGTGCTGGAAGACAAATTCCAGGTGGGTTTGGAGTGTGAAAGTCAAACCTTCATTCATGAGAATAAGACATGGGAAGCTTTTCACATTAGTGAACTCACACTGACGTTTCTTAAATCTAGAGAGTTTGGCTTAAATCCAGAGAGTTTGGCTTTCTTAAATCTAGAGAGTTTGGCTTTCTA